CCCCAAAACCCCAAAACCCCAAAACCCCGTAGAAGAAATAGATGATTGAAATTGAGTTATGAGTGTAGATTTGATTGTTTTGGTAGTTTAGAAGAAAGTGTTGTAAATGAAGCTGATGTGGTACTTTTCTTTGAAGGAAGAGGGGATTATTACTGGGTTGGAGGTGAAGGGGGAGGAGTATTTGCAGCATGATAGTTTGACTTCAATGCTTTGAGTCTTGATGGCATTTGCTAAATATTTGAAATCTTTTTCTGTCAGAATGAAATAGTTCAGATCTAGAGTTCTTGGGGGATTTTTCATTAATTCTTCAAAGCAAGACTGAAAATCTGAGAAATTCAAATATGAAAGACTGCAGACTTTATTGAGTGAAAAACTGTCATAAGATCCTTTATTCATACAATTACTGATAAAATCTTTAAGAAGTTCTTTCTGGTTACAGTCAATATTCAAATTAAAACTACTTATCTCCAAAAATTTATACTTTCTTTCAATGTGCTCTTTCATAAATTCAATCTTATCACTCTTAGTTATATTCATACTTAAAGAACAATTAGGCTTCTCTTTTCTCTCCCCATCACTCTCCTGAACCTCATCTTCTCTTCTCTTTTCAGTAGAACCTCCATCTCCCACTTTTTCACTAACATCACTCCTCACTAAAGTATTCTCTAAAATCATCCCCTCAACATTCCTCCCAACCTCACTTCAAATTTCCTTCTCCTTACTCCCTCCAACAATTCCTTCATTCTTCCCTGCCAACTTCTCTTCAACCTCACCTACACCGCTCTTATCCTCTTCCTCATCCTTCTGTTCACTATTAGGTGGGGGATATCTGGACTTGTAAAAGGGGTTGGGAAGTTTGTTTGTCTTGGGAGAAGTTGTTGAGAAAGGGTTAGTAGTGGTGGAGGGATTTTGGGAGTGCTCATTTCTTCTCTCTGAGTTTGTGTGTTTAGATTTGTAGCATTCAAAAGGGGATTTAATTGTGAAGATATTTCATTTTGAGTTTGATGAAACTGCTTGCATTTGATTAGATTCTTGATGCTTCTTCTCATTAGTTAAGCCTTGGGCGATATTCTCATCTTTTGTATCTCCTCCAATAAAGTTCCTCTCTGACAGACTAAAATTTGAGGGATCTTTTAATATCTGCTTTACGATTAGCTGTTGATAAGAATCACTCATCACTTCAATTATCACTGAATTTTGATTAATATCAGCTCTTAATTTGGCTAGCTCAGTTTCACAATCCTCAAAGTCTAAAAAGTTCTTCTCATCAATTGCTTTCTTGACTTTCTGTTCTAGCTCAAAAAACCTGGTTTCAACTTCGGTAATAGCTTCTTTAAAGTTAGGCCATCTTCCTTCAATATAGAACTGCTCAAAGTGTCCCTGAGTAACTCCAATCAATCTCTCCAAACTCTGGACTTGATACTCCAATTGCTGAGAACTCCTTATCTGTTCAACTTTACACTGATAATGCTGGTCTGCCTTACACTTTCCTCACACAGGCATTTCATGATCCTGACAATACTCTGTACTGATCTCTTGTCAAAACTTTGTCTTGCAGGTAACTCACATCTTACTAAAAATAATTATGTAAATTCTACTTAAATTTAGCAATAAGGGGTTTTGGGGTTTTGGGGTTTTGGGG